GTTGTGGAGTCCACCTTAAGAGTCTGTTCACTACACACAGTAATATGAATGAGCCTAAGAACATAACGTTGAGTAAAATAAGCGAGATGCAGAAGAGAATGTACTGTAAGTATCCACTTATATGAAATCATAGATATGGCAAAATGAATAAATAGTGATTGACAATATATCACTCGCTGGGGGCTGTGGGTGGGTTAGGGTGGGTGTTTGTATGTAGCCAGACACTAGGGATCTTTTGTGGGTGATGGAAATGTTCTATATTGTGATTGTGGTGTTGCACATAAGGTTATACACGTTTGTCAGAGCTCATGGAATTGCATACTTAAAATGGCCTCACTGTATTATATGTAAATTATATCTCAATAAAGTTGATTAAAAAGAAAACAGTAATAGCCATGAGCATACAAATTCGTAACTTAAATGTGGCAACTAAGTCTAATAATATCCTTAATATATGCTTATGGGTCAGTAAATAGAAAATGATGTATTTCATAATAAATCATTTGAAAATTTTTCATAATTAAAAAAATGTGGAGTTTTTATTTTTATAGTTCTTTATGAGATGTCAACACTCAACTGGCAAAAATCATTTTTTAAAAGATGAGACTTTATTACAATGTCAGCTTTTCCTTAAGAGAAGTAAACAACACATATTTCTAATATAATATCTTTTGGATGCAGACTGTTGAGAACCTTTCTACAATTTTAGTTCTGAATGGTCACCTACTGAATCTGGTGATAAATGTCTCATTTACCTTAACTCCTGTTGGCAGTGCTTCTCAAGGTGTATTAGCTATTCGCAATGCCTATGGAGATTTGAAGACTGTACTCGTGTGCTTTATGAAGTATTTTTCTGCCTGCCTCTTCTAGACTCTTATAGTGATTAATAGGAACTTTCATTTGCATGTTCACTTTTACACTCATTATAGTGTGTTATGTTCCAATAAGAGTATTAAAGTTCAGTGAAAATCTCATGCATGCTAATGAGAATGCAAATGAACATTGATGAAAGAATGCTAGAATCTTAAGGCATAAACTGTCCAGTTATCTTTAAATTCTATTCAAACAATGGTTATATTATAGTGAAGACTGATACAGAACCCACCATACATATATAATTAGCAATGGCAAAATCATTATATAGTTTATAATTGGATAGAGTTTCAGTGCCAGATTGTTCTGAGGTAAAAAGATAGATAGATAGAGAGAGAGAGAGAGAGAGAGAGAGAGAGAGAAAGGATTTGATATTAATGCTTATTTTTATTCCTCCCTCCTAAACTTTGCCAACCTTCAGCAGGACATTTCCTTTGTTGTATATAGTGAATGGAAAGCTAGGGATGATTATATAAATGAGTGATCACATAGAAAATTTCCAGTTGTAACCTTTATTGGGTGCATAACAAACAATAGGCATCAAACATCATCTCATGAAGACATTTCAAGTATCTGGTTATTGTAGAATTAGAAATATACAAATTTATTTCAGCAATTGCATTTATGTATCATTTTAAACAAAGATCTTTTTTCCTTCAGCCTTTAAAGCAAAGCTAAAAGAAGCTTTTATATCTTCCCTTAGAGAATAGTGTCCCATAAGAGTGAATAGTCTAGGTGATACTTAGTACATTATCTGAGTTATATTACATTCTTACAGCTATAATTGAATTTTATAAACTTATATAAAACCAGTAAGCTTTAGAAAACACATATCATTGTTTCCTCAACCTATTAACCTACCTTGGGATTTAAAAAAACTATTTGGATTCCACTGAAGTATTTTTCTTTTTCCAGCCTTACAAAAAACATGAAAATGATGTTTTATAGGTCATCAATAAGACAAATTGTTGTTTTGAGTTTTTTTTCTCATGGTGATAGTAAGTGTGCCATTATACTTTTTTGCATGATCTAATGCCAATAGTATGTGTTCATAGACTAGAATACATGGTAATCATTAATACAAAGTATAATAGTTAATAATAATTTTTATTTTAGGTAATATAAAAGTGTTTTGAATCAAAATATACAGTTGTTGCCAATACTTAATGGTAGCCCTAGCACAGGGGTTGGCAAACGTTTCCTTTAAAGGGCTAGCTAGTAAATATTTTAGGCTTTGTAGGCCATACCGTCTTTTACAACTACTCAACTCTGTTGTTGGAGCTCAAAAGCAGCCATAGACAATATGCAAATGTATGTATTGCTGTGTTCCAATAAAACCTTATTTTTGGACATGGAATTTTTTGTTTGCTTGTTTAGTTCCAGGTGTACAAAACAATGTAATAGTTAGACATTTACACACCACCCCCAGCAATAACCCCCCTTCCCCAATCTCTGACATCGTATATAGTTGTTACAATTCCATTGACTCTATTCCCTGTACTCCACATCCTGTGACTATATATATATATATTAAATTATAGTTGGCATTCAGTATTATTCAGCTTCAGCTTCAGGTGTACACTGTGGTGGTCAGGCATCTACATGGACACTGAAGCTTTCTTCTATATACTTTTCATGTGTCATGAAATATCCTTGGTTTAACTATTTTTTCCAACCATTTGAAAATGTGAAAATGAGCTGGTGGCTGAATTTGGCTCGCAGGGGTTTACCAACCCCTGCCCTATTGGTTGATTTTTCTGAATTAAGTTTCTAATCTAGATTACAACTGAAGATTTACTGCTTAAAACGTTTAGAGTTATATGGCTCATGTTTAATTATTTTAAAAGAAGCCTCTTCCCTAGAAAAAAAGCCTATAAGTATAGATAAGTAACTTTTATTTTGACCATAAAGAGGCAGTTGAAAAATTCCATAAACCATTTCTTTCCTTGATTGCACAGAGGAATCTTGCTTGACTAAGCTGGATTTTCTAATACAGGTCAAAATCCCATTGAAATGAATATTTTTATAGTGGAATTATTGTATAGTGGAAGTATTCATTCAACAGCTCTATTAAATACTTACTCTTTCAAAGCATTTAGGTGGTAGAAAAATAAATCTCCCATGGATACACAGACAACCTCTCAGCCTAACAAAGAATATAAAACCTGTGCAAGTTGTTGCTAGAAATGGATCAAATTGGAATGGAAGCTATTAAGCAAGACAGTGCAAAAAAAGTAACAGGGGTAGATGTTCAGAAACAGGAGTAGAGAAGGCAAAACACTGGGACTGTATTAAATATAGATGCATGGGATCAGTGCAAGAGAGCACAGAGCAGGAAGAAAGAAATAACTAATTCCAGGCCAACAGTTGAAAGTTGCTATTTCTGCCCCCACAACCATTCATTCAGTACTGAGCTCGTTATGAGACAGGTCCTTGGATGATGGAAGGCAGGTTGGTGGAGCTGGTCAGAAAAGAAGGTAGCTGGTGAACCAACAGAGCTCAGATTTTACAGCCAGTTCAACTAGGGTTTGATTCCCAGTCTGTTACTCTAGTTATGTGAGTTTAGGCCAAGTTGCTTAATCTTTCTGAACTTCATTCAGTTCTCAGTCTGTAGAATAGTGTCAATAATTCTTATTTCGTTACATGTTGTTAGGGTCACAACCTATTTCTCTTCCTGGTTTAGTGTTCTTTACTTTTTGCTTGCTAACATTGGAGAGACTAGTTAGTGGAGAGCATGGATGGTTTTTGGAGCCAGAGACAAGGTCAGATCTGGATTCAAATCCCACCATTATCACTTAATGCATAAATTTGGGAAAGTTATTTAATTCCTCTGTAAAATAAGGATACTTCACAATTTTGTAATAAAGATTGAGTCAACTAAAGTGATAAAATAGTGGTTTTCTACTTTTTAAAGACCATATTTTCTACAATATATTTTCTCACAGTTTCCTATACGTATATCCTCATAGCCAAACTGATAATATTGATTTTGCTTTTTTCAGTTTGTTATTAAATATATATTTTTTTAATAATAGTGATAATAGTAAACAACTTAGATTTGCTTGCTTACTATATGCCAGAATCTGAGCTAAGAATTTATGTGTATATACATATATTATTTCATATAACTTTACTAACAACCCTAAAATATAGATATTATTATAATTCCTATTTTACACATGGGAAACCTGATGCCTAGAAAATTAAATAACCTGTCCCAGGTGACACAACTAGAAAGTGGTGAAGTTATTCAAACCCAGAAAGCCTGCCTCTATTCTCCTAAACACTTGGAGATCCCAGCAGCTCAAACAAGCTCCAGTCAGAACAGTGAGACAATGTCATTCCATGCATGGTGCTCACTTCTTAAATGTCTAAAAAGGAGCCCTTTCTTGCCTCTCTTCTAATGTGCTATTAATCACATCATTTTTTATGTTCTTTTCGGATCCTTCTTTCTAACGTCAGTGATTCTGATATGCTTCCATAGAGGCAGCTGGCCCACTCCCTTTCTCATTACTATAAAGCATCTAGCACAGTGCTCAGTGCCCAGTAGGCATTTAACAAACATGAGTTCTTTCTACTCCGCAGCTCATCTCTCAAGTGGTGGAGGTAAGTAAGACCTGATGATACCAGCCAGATGAGTTAGGCTGCTTGCTATAGCAGATCAGAAGAGAAATCTCTGTAAATTAAAACTCACTATGTTCCTTCCTTTATAAATTGAGCGATAACTAATTCTGATTTTCAGAATAACATAATTTTGGATTGCGTTGAAGTTTACTGTATTGTGATTTGGCCTATATGCCATACATACACTAACTTAAATTCAGATGATGATATGAGGTATGGTTTTAGATATGAAAATGTTCCCTCTTTATCCTCCCAAATTGTGTTTTTTTTTTTACACAAATACCCCTCTGACATCATGTATTTGTGTGTTTCTTTTCTGTACTCCCTTCACTAGTATATGTGCTACAGGAGAGAGGAAATTCATGTTTGGTTCCCTTTTATATCTCCAGTGCTTAAAATAATATATAACAAGTGCTCAATAAATATTTGTATTATACATAAACTAATAAAATGTTTGTGCAAATTATAGAAAACTTACATTTAAATATTATTTTTCCCTCTAGCCTGGATTAAAAGAACAAGAAAGACTCCACCTACCATGGAGGTAAGAATACACAAGGAAAACACTCACATAGCATGGGTTTATAATGCTGTTTCTCAGCTGGGAATTTATACTCCCAGGGATACATGAAGCCCTAGAATAAATGTGAGGTGCCAAAGTGTGCATTTTACTCCATAGAAAGTAATTTAAAACATTTTTATGATAAATGCACAAATTGTGGAATATAACAAAATTCATATAAATTTTAAAATGAAATAATAAAAATTTAAAACAAAATAAAAACAGTTTTTAGAAAGTGTGGACTTGTAGCAGGACATTTCTCCTGGCCTCTGGGAGTTCTCTGTTCTGATACGGATGCTTTGGAGGAATAGTTTGAGTAACACTGAATATCTTCGTTCTATTTAAATCATGCTCTGCTTTTTTGCCCTTACTTTATATAAAACTTAAAATTTTATAATTTTATATAAATTTAACTCTTGAGTGTTCAAAGAAACTTCAAAACATACAATTAGGTTGTAACATGTAACACTCAGTAATTAATAGTTGAATTATATTTTTATTTAAGACTTTAAAAAGATAGTTTGGGTGGTATACAGAATAAAAAGCATAGCAATGCTGTCATATGTGTTTTTAAAATGTTTATTTTATAATTTTTTATTTTAAAACCATAGCACAAAGTGTTCTAAAATTATTTTGTAAGAAATAAATGTATTTCATAAAAAGAAAGTTTCCAAATTTATTAGTATACTGCCTTTTCCTTTTCGTCTACTATTTAGGACTTCCCTCTTCTTTTCTCTCCCTTTCTCCGTCACTACTACAAACCCTTATGACGACATAAATGAGCTCTGATGCTCAGGCCTCACTTGTTGAGAGGTGGGGTAGTCCATGGCAGAACACATAATGACCTATTCCTCTCGTACTGACCCCATCAATGTTTGTCTGGCCAAGGTCTGAGTGAGCACATCTCTAAGCCCATTTCTAGCCTTGTATGTTGCTTCCACCTTGGCTTTGTCCTACTCTTCTCAGACCTTTCTTTCTAATATCAGTGAACCTTAGAATAAAAGGGAAAAGAAGTCAATGTGTGTGATCCAAAATTCAGAAATATCACCAGTGGTTTGATGGATCATGGAGAACTTCTGATTCTCCTTCTCTTGGCCATAATAAGAGCTACTATTCTCAGAGCAAAAGGTGTTTCTTCTATGCTCAGAACTTTGAAAGCTTTCTTCCATAGAAACATTGATATGCAAAGTAATCAGATGGAGGCAACTGCAATAATCAGTCCTAAGGCACCACTCAGTAAATTTTAGATAACCCCAGCATCTCAGACAAGCTGTAGTCAGAACAGTGAGACCAAGTCATTCCATCCATAGTGCTCACATTCTTGGATATCCAAAAAGGATCCCTCTCTTGCCTCTTTTCTAATGTACTATTAATCACATCGTTCTTTATACTCTTCCATACCCTCCCCAACACACACACACACACACACACACACACACACACACACACACACACACACACACATCTACCTTTCCCTCCCTCCTGACTTTCCATTGTGTTTCAGTAATTTCTGTTTCTTTGTTAGCAAATTACCCTTCATCATTCAATATTGTCCTAGGAACTTTCTCTTCTACATAGCCTCAACTGAAACCTGTCTGTGTCTGAAAGATTATGAGTCTCTTCTTTCCTTGAAGTGAATTGTGCCCATTTTCCCACAACCCACAGAAAGAAAGTGGGTTCAACTGCTTCTACTTTCGTCCAGCCTCTTCCAAAATATTCTTTCAGTTTTGGGGCTCAAGGGAGTGTAGTACCTTTGTAATCAGAGTATACTTCTTTCTACTTGTTTGTCATTTTTCTCTCCAGGCCACTCTGCCACACTGATGGCAAGGAATAGGACCAAATTTAGAGACTCTCCCTTCAATGTCTTCCCAAGTCTTAGCTGTTAGCTGTTCAGTTATTTGACTTCATCCATACTAGTATCCCTATCTCAAATCACACCCACTTCCATAGCCATGCCTTAGTTCTTATCAGCACAGAACACCATTCTACCACTAAAACTTGTAAACTCTTTAACCCCAGATTCTAGATACGTCATATGGGGTGGGGATGGGGGGCTATTTAATGTAATAGAAGACATGTACAGAAAACCACAAGAATTAAATGTATAACATAATAGGTAACTATAAGGTGAGTCCCATCAGGTCAAGAAAGAGAACTTTGCCAGCTACCCCAGGATCATGTGCCCCATCTCAATACAACCTCCTCTCTCCTCACAAAAGCAACCTGAACCGGACTTTTATAATAGTCATTTCCTCAGATTTTTAATAATCGTATCACCCAAAAGTACATTATAGTTTAGACGTGTCCATTTTGTAAAATCTTCATATTTCTTTTAAACCTTCTTCAATCTATGCGTTCTTCCTCCATCCTTTCATTTTCTTACAAACCCCATCCCATTCGGCCTGTAGAGTTTGCTGCAGCCTAGATTTTACTGATTTTATGTTCTTCACATAGTTTAACATGTTACTCTGTGTGTTTTTTCAAATTGACAGCTGGATCCAGAATTATACACCCAGGTTTGATGTTTTTGTCAAGAATAGAGAAAGTTTGGGAAGACTATAGAGATTATAATGTCTGGGTGTCCCGCTTTTTGTGATCTTCACAGTTACTTATGCTTAAAGCCTATGTCAATTCATTGGAAACAACCTTGTATTCTTGCACACCTGTTAAAATAGTTTCCAAGAGCCTACCAATCATTTCAGTTCTCTGCTTTTTTTCAAAGCTCTTAGTGAACTCCTACCCCCAAATAGACTTCCAGCCACATTCCCTGTACACTATGGCTAAAGGTTAGTTAATAACAATTAGAATGCCATTTACAATCGCATCAGAAAACATAAAATACCCTTATATAACTTAAGCAAAATATATGGGATATATACTCTTAAAACTACAGAACATTAGTGAGACAAATTAAAGGGGACTTAAATTAATGAGAAGAAATATCTGTTCATGGATTAGAATCTTCAGTATTGCTAAGATATTAATTCTCCCAAACTGATCCACAGCAGTAATTCTTACTATTTATCAGAGTCACTGGGAAGGCTT